GGGGCCGAGGGAAGCCTCTGACTCGGCGCGGCCCGGGGCACCGATCGCCCGCGCCGTTCCTCCCCTGCGACCTTGGGCGCGGCGGCGCCCGCCTGGCCCGGTCGCGGGGCTGGAGCGGGGCCTTGCCGGGCCTACCCGAGTCCCCGGCGGAGGATGACTGGGGAGCGCTCGGAACGGGCGTCCTGCAACCGGCCCGTCTTCCTGCTTGGCCGCGCCTTACCCCGGGGCGCGCGGCCTCTGGGAGCGGCTCCACGCCGGAGCTGCAGGCAAGGGCCTGGGGGCGACACGAAACTCGATAGGAGCCAGCAGGGTACCCTTGTTGCCAAGGCTGCTCACGGCATCCTGGGCTGCGTTGCTAGGAGCGCTGCCAGCAGATCGAGGGCACCAATTCTCCCCTGCTATTCGGCACTGGGGAGGCCACATCTGGAGTCCTGTGTCCAGTTGTGGGCCCCCCACAACAGAAGGGATGTGGATAAGTTGGAGAGAGTCTAGCAGAGGGCAGTGAAAATGGTTCAGGGGCTGGGGGACAGGACTGGTGAGGAGAGGCTGAGGGAACTGGGCTGATTGAGTCTGGAGAAGAGAAGACCGAGGGGGATTGAATAGCAGCCTTCACCTCCCTGCAGGGGGGCTGCAAAGAGGATGGAGCTGGGCTGGTCTCAGTGGGGGCAGATGGCAGGACAAGGAGCAATGGGCTCTAGGTGCAGCAAAGGAGGTTTAGGTTAGATGTAAGGAAAAACTTCCTTAGAGGGTAGTAAAACACCGGAACAGGCTCCCCAGAGAGGTGGTGGAGTCTCCATCCTTGGAGATTTTCAAGACCCAGCTAGACAAAGCCCTGGCTGGGATGATGGAGTTGGGGCTTGTCCTACTTTGTGATGACCTCCCTTGTAGCCCTAACTTCCTGTGATTTCTGTAAACTGCTTTTTTTGTTATAAACCCCCCACCCTGAGGCAGTGATCCCTCAATTTTGATTGAGGCCACTGTACCCCGTTGCTAATTTAAATGTTAAGCAAAGATTTTGAATGTGCTTAAGAGGAAGTCAGAATGACTTGGGTCTGTCTGAATTTATTTTATTACTCAAATGTTTATATGTAGCACGTTGTCTTGGAGGGAGGGGAGTTCTTGAAAACTGGGGTAGTTTTCAAAAGGTAAGTCAGAACAACGCTTTTTTTTGTCTTGACAGTGACAAAGTAGCCATAGGTCTAGTTATTTTCTTTTTGAGCTCTTTTGTGCATGTGGTCAGTGTAATAGATTTGCCTACAAACTGTATTAATTTTTTTCTCCTAAGCCACATTTTTAATTCAAGAGGCTGTATGTAATCAGAAATAACTTCTAAATGAAACTCTCTTTGCAGGCTCTCAAGGTTGCTTATCCTTGAGTAAAATGTGTACTCAGTGAAAACTCCCTGTTCTAGCTGATGGCCTATGAACTGGGGGGGGGGTTGGGAGAAATTTGGGGGCTGTTTCAATGCCTCATGTATAAGGCTGAGGAAAGTGGTGTGTTGCTATGTACATGTGATGCCTGTACTTCAGAACTTCCATTGGCTGTCTTTGGATTTCAGGCTGCACTTTACAAACGAGAGAGAGAGCACCTTAAACCTGGTGGCTTGGTGCCTGCCGGTCTAAAAAATGTTCTGCAGAGGGAAGTCAATTCAGGCTAAGTCATGTGTGAATGTAAAGTAATAGCTGCTCCTAATGACCTTCCTCTGGATATGGTTTACACCACACAAACAAAGAGATTGTTCCTCTTCCCACAGCATTCTGCAATAGTTTCAGATCAACAGAGGCTTTTGAGTTGATATATAAAAGGAAACTGACTTGTATCTTTCCATTTTTGTGGTTCTTAACTATGGGAACAAAGATGGAAGCAGAGTGTGGGGATGGGCAAGTATTTGTATCGCAGTACTGTACTAGAGCTCTAAGGTATGAAGCTAGCTGCAGCACTACAGCATTAGTCCCATATTTTCTGTCTTAGACAATCCTTAGAGGGCATTGCTTGCAGTGCTTTCTGCTCGAGGGTCCTTCACCTTCAGATTGTGCTCCCTTTGGGTCCCAAATGACTCAAAACAGCCAATCTGAAAACATGATGTTTAAAGGAAGTTACTGTATCCAGCTAATGATGTGGATTTTTTTTTCCAGCAAAATCTAGTGGGGTTTTTGTCTGTTTATTTGCTTGCTTGCTTGTTTGTTTTCAGGAACAGCCCTTTGGTGACTATCCTGAATTCCTAGTTTAAATCTTAATTTGTTTGACTACTTCTTGTTCTGATAGGGTGCTTAAAAGCTCACCTAGATGATGTTCAAATATGTTGACAAAAACAACAAAAAATCTGAGACTTTCATGTTAGCAAACTTTTTTTTTTTAACTGGCATGTGCTAATTTCTTCCAACCATTTTAAGTAGGGAATAACAATTAAGAGTTGTTATTGTAAAGGTTTATCTATTTTCTTATACTGGTTCACTGCCTAACCATAGATAGCTTTTGATATCCTTCAGCAGATGTTAATGTTTCATCTATGTTACTGAGTTGGCTGTGTGTGTGTGTGCGTGCGCCTTCCATTACCCCTCTGCCTCTTTCCTCCCCCCAGTCCTTTCCTAGTACACAGTACAGGATATGCTGGAAGAGTAAAAAGAGTTGGGGAGGGACTGTGATGCGAGTGGAGGAAGGAGACTTGCCCAAATGTGCCTTTAGGGAAGGTAAGCAATTCTGCCCCAGCCCCCTGTGCTATTGTATTTCTGCCCCCCCCCCCCGCAGCTGTAAGAATTTAGAAGAGTATCCTGGTGACTACTTACATTAATGGATTCAAGAAGTAGAATTTCAGCTGTGCTTAAATTTTTGAAGTGACCTTATTGAGAACAAATTTGGCGTTTAATATGCCTAGGCCTTTGAAATTAGCATCCTGATAAGAAAACAAAACTGCAGGGGTTCTCAAATGTTTTTTAAATTGTACAAAGAATGGCCAATATAGAAAAAGAGAACAGTAGGAATAGTAAGCTGTTCTAATATTTGATAGGTTAGGCCAAAACTGGTATAAATGCTACAAGCACATAGCTACTTTGTGGCTTCTGCATACTGTTTGCTTTGCTAGCGAAGACTCCTAACTGTAAACAGCTAAAATCAGAAGGAGAGCATCTCAACATATTTCAGCCCCTTTTTCGAAGTGAAGAAATATTCATGCTGTCACACTTCATGACAAATTATAGAAATTTTTGACCATGTCAAAGTAATTTTGGAAATAATATTTTCTTTATTTAGTGAGATTTTATACCTCCTAATTTATCTTTCCTGACTATCAGGAAACTGCAGCCTGCTAATTGAAAAACTGTTTGCTAGAGCAGTGGTGCCCAACCCATTTAGGAGCCACAGCAATTAATGCTGTTGGTGCTTGTCTTATATCCAGGTTTCTGAACCTGCAGGCTAGATCTTGGTCACACCTGCTTTAGACTGTAACTCCTCCTGGTTTTAATCTTATCTACATAGAACCAGATAAGATCAAACACTTTTAATAAATGCATGAGCATGGAGAAAACATTCAAACCCCAAATAAGAAGGGTGGGGGGAGGGGTAGAAAATTGTATGGCGTAAAACCTACTTTTTAAATCAAGGAAGAAAGAGGACTTGGAGCATTCTTTTTAAAAATAACATCTTCATGCTGGATATTTTTTAGTTTGCTGTTTGTACAAGAATGGCATGCCTTTCCAAAGCTCATGGGTGACCTTTACAAGAGTTAAAAGTACAGATTTAAAATGAATTGCCACTTACCACTGTATCCAGCAGAACTTGATCCCTTACAAAGCAGAACTTACTCTCATCAGACTTGATCCTCTGCAGCTGCTCATGTAGATAGGCTGTGCCTTGTGGTATTCTCACTGGTGGCAGATGATAGAACAAGGAGTAGTGGTTTCAAGTTGCAGCAAGGGAGGTTTATGTTGGATATTAGAAAAAAACATGCTCACTAGAAGGGTGTGATGAAGCATTGGACCAGGTTACCTCAAGAGGTGATGGCATCTCTCTCCATCCTTGGAGGTTTTTAAGGCCTGGCTTGACAAAGACCTGGCTGGAATGATCTAGCTGGGGATGGTCCTGCTTTGAAGCTGGGGGTTGGAATAGATGTGACCTCCTGAGGTCCCTTCCTACCTTCATTTTCTATGATTCTATGCCCTGATGGTCAGCAGTCCATGGCTGCTTTGGAGTAGGGGAGGAAGGCAAACTCTTTATTGAGCTGACATCCTTCACAGTCTTCTCCACAACTGAAGGTGCCTCAGTTTTCAGGCTTTAATAACTGCTTTAATAGAGGAGGAGGGGTGGTCTGTCTTATAAGGAGGATCCAAGCCATGTGGAGCAGAGTAAATCAAATTTCTCCTTGCATTTAATCTGGAAACCAGTAAGTGGCTAGTGTGTATTGTGAAATGGTCATCCTGTATTGGCATTGAGGAAAAATACTTGATAAGTAGGCTCCTTAAGTTTCTGGCTTGATTTCAAGTATCGGGCCATCTAAAGTGTACAGCAGTAGTCAAGTACTGTGGCTTTAAAAGCAGGGATCCACTTAATGAAGTCCAACTCAAAATAACTGTCATAGTATCTTGGCCACTTGGACGTAGTGAAGCTCTGTTACCTGGCATGCGTGGGGAATGGGGCGTGCCCGTAATCTAAAAATGCTGGTTACCATGAGACAGGACTTTTTGACCGGATGCGGGGTGGGGGGCTGGCGGCGGCAGCCGCATGCGGAGCAGCAACAGCACAGGGTGGCAACGGTGGCCACCTTGTGCAAACTTCCTTCTCCCGCCTGGTTTGGCCGGGCAGAAATTCCAGTTAGTGTGTGCCGGTTACTAAAATGCTGGTTAACACAGCTTTTACTGTACATGGTTGCCTAACAGGAGCTGGGATCCAGCAGTGTAACCAGGTTCTAAATAGTATAAATAGCAGCTACGCACTCTTCATTACAGCTGGATATACAGCTTTCTTCATAATTTTCACTTGTTTTCCTTAGTTTCCCAGGATCATTCCAATCTTATTTAGAATGAGCTTCATCCAGCTACTAGTTTTTTAAGGAAGTGCTGTATTTTCTTGCATTCATCGTGCATATCTTGGTTTTTGAAGGCAGAACTTAGACACCCCCCCCCCCCCCCCCCAAAAAAAAAAAAAAAAATCCCCCAAAAAAAAAAAAAAAAAAAAAGCCACGGTCAGCTGTGAGACAATTAGTCCTCCTGGATACATGACGCACTATACTTCCTGGGTATACTGGCTGCTAGCAGACATTAAAAAAACCAAACCCCAAAACCCAGCGCTTTACTTCAGACTTTGCATGCCGAGAAGAGGCATTGCATTAGTTGGACCTGGCTCCACAATGGGTGTATAGATTTGGTGCTGCTGTTTCCAGGAAAACCCAGTCTGTAAAAGTAGCCATTCTGTCCCAGGAGGTAGGGCCCCCAACTGTTGCAAGAGCAGTAACAAGACTTACTTCTTTACTATAAACAATTCTTTATACAAGTTCCTGTGACTAAAGTGTTTCCACTAGGGATATGAAAGGTTAACCATTTAAACAAGCATATTTATACCAGTAATGCAGTACTGGTTAACATTTGGCATGAGTCGCAGTCTAGCAGGGAAGGAAAACGGAAGCTCAGGACTAGGAAGGCAGCAGGGCAGGCAGGAGGGGGTGAGAGGAGGATTAAGTGTGGGGTGTGCGGAGGCAGAGAGGTAATGGAAGGTATACATAAACGTGCAGGCCAGGTCAGCAATATGGATACAATTTTAAAAGCTGCTGAAGGATATCAAAAGCCATTTGTGGTTAGGCAGTGAACCAGTATTAAAAAAATTAAGGTTAGTTAAAACCCTTACAATAACACCCCTTAGTTGTTATTCCCTACTTACAGTGGTAAGGCAGCAGAACTCAGGAGCACACCTATGGTTTATGAGGTTAAAGAGTAAAACAAAAAGGAGGGGGTGCTGATGACTACTCAAGCAAGCAATTGCTTTACTGCCCCTTTGCAGACCAGAAAACCAGATAACAGGCTACTTAAAGTTTAAACCCATCCCCAACTCCCCTTGCCTCATCCCTCCCTCTCAGCATCCTGGCCCCTTGCCTGCTACTGCACACAGCCGCACAGCTTGCCCCTGGTCCTGTGTGTACCACTATGATGCTCTGGGCAGCCAGCTATTGCCCCACGGCAGGGCAGGGTGGCACTGGCCCCCGGGCTCTGCATCCCCGTGGTCAGGACTAGGTATGTTATCAGCAGGGATCCTGGTTTTCCATTTCCCACAGAAAACCACAGATTTCCCACTTTTATCAGAGAAAACACGGATTTTCCCTTTTAGAAGAGAAACCCACGGATTTCCCCCTTTTGCAAAGAGCTCTGCAGGCTGGCAGGGGTCCAACTTACAAGAGCTGTTTGCAGAAGGGGCTGGGAAACCCTCAACCCTGCCAGGAGAGGAAGGGATGGGTGAAGGGCAGTGAAGTGTGGATGTTCACCAATATTTGTCACTATTCTTTGCCTGCTCCATAGTGGTATGCAAGCTGTGGTTTTCAGTAACTGATCTATCACAGATCGCTTTGAGGTTAAGACAGGAGTTAAGCAAGGCTGTGCCATCACTCCAGCGCTGCTCTTAATATTTCTTACCGCAATGCTACATCAGATTGATGGTAAGCTGTTTAATCTCAGCCAACTCCAAGACAAAATCAAGCCCATCCCGATCTCAGTCATCAAACTCCAGTATGCTGACAATGCTGTGGTCTGTGCTCGCTTGGAAGCAGACCTTCAGGCAATCATCAACACCTTTACTGAGGTATACAAGAAAATGGGACTGAAGCTTAACATTCAGAAGGCAATAAGGTCCTCCATCAACAAGCTCTTAATAAGCAATCCCCAGCTCTGGTAATTCAGATTCATGATGAGACTTTGGAGAACATTATTCCTGTACCTTGGAAGTCATCTCTCACAGAAGGCTGAAACTGACAAAGAAATCCAATGTCACCTCAAACGTGCAAGTGCAGTCTTTGGACACCTGACGAAACAAGTGGTCGCAGGTCGCAACATCAGATTTGAAACAAGGCCATGGTTTATCAAGCAGCTGTGATCCCCACCTTACTGTATGGAATTGAGACGTGGAAAATGTACAGGAGACACCTCAAGTTTCTGGAGAAGTACTATCAATGCTGCCTGTCCAGCAGTACTGTCAGTGCTGCCTCCCTTCGAATCCAGTGGGAAGATAGACTTGCCAACCCTAGTTTGCAAACAGATGCCACAAGCATGAGGTGATGTTCATCCAACATCAGCTTTGTGGCTCCTGAAGCAAATTTTATTCTCCCAGCTCAGTCAAGGCATATGCTCAAGAGGAGGGCAAAGGCAATGGCTCAAGGACATTCATTCTCAAGGCCAGCTTGAAAAAAAAGCTATGTAAACATCATGGGAGACTATTGTCCAGGGCCGCCCCAAATGGAAAAAGAGTCTGTCTGCTGCAAGGATCTCAGTACTTTGAAACCTTATAATGATAACAGAAGACAGAAAAGCGGGAGCAGTAGAAACAGCATGCCATGGACCAAATCAAGAATCTGGAGCCAGCCACCCCACACAAACACATGCCTGAGTCGGAACACAGTCTCCTGATCCCAGATCAGGATCACCAGCCATCTTCAGGCCCCTAGATAAAACAGTCATCCTCAACTGTGAGGGACTGCCGAAGAAGAAAGTTCTTCCTCTTTACCTGTAGGAACTTTTGCTACCAATACTGGTATAGTTTGTACGGACCTTAGCATGGTGCAGCATATGCTATCTTGGATGTGCTGTAAAATGCATAAGCAGTGCACAGACCAGTGATTCTCAATCCTTGTAGACTCAAAGCACCCCTCCAGAACTTTTCAGAATTTAGTGGCACCACACTTCAAGACTAATCTCTTTTGTACAGTGCTTGCCTTCTCACACTGTTTGGTGCCCTTAAAAGATTCTTATGGGATGGCAGGATGGGCGGCAGCAGTCAGGGCATGCCTATAAGCATGGCAGGGGGTGGTACACAAGAGCTTGGTGCTGTCAGGGGCTGCTTGGTGGGGCAGATTGGGCAGTTGGGTGGTGGGTCATTAGCCTCCTGCAGGAGGCCAAAGGGGGTGACAGGCTCAGAGGCTGGTCTTAATTGAGCATGATGGTGGCAGGACCCAGTTGTGCCTCTCTCTTTCCACAGTCAGTCAGTTCCCAAGCCTTGCCAATGCAGTTGTCCTTCCAGGGACTTTGAATGCCAGTTACCAGAGCCATCCTTCCCTGTACCACTTCTACAAGTTTTGGGAGCATAGAATGAACTGAGTGGGGAGCATGAGCTGAGTTGAAAAGACATGGCATCTCATCTTCCCACCTGCCCACAGCAGTGTGCTGCTCTGAATATGGGGTCAGTTGGCATGGGGGCTGTGCTTTTCATGTTTGTTAGTCCCCCTGTTCCTCATGCTCTTGGAGCTGGTGGGAGGGAGGAGCATGGGGAACGGTGCCAAAATGTCGGGGCAGGGACAGGGTGCCCAGCCAGTGAAGGGGTGAGCCCTTGCCTCCCCTCACAGGGGCTGGGTACCGTAGCACTCTTCAGAGTACCTAGTGAGACCCTGGTTGAGAATCACTGACATAGACGATGCATAATAGGTCTGGCATGGCTCTTTGCTTGGGGAAACATGGACTTGCATTCAAGACTGACACCATATAAACGACAGAGACTTCACAACCTTCCAGATCTAAAGCATTTTTGTCTTAAACCACTGGGATTTGATAGTTAATAATATCTTTCAACTATGTAACTCTAATACTAAACTCCAGATACTTTAATTTTAAGGGAACAATGGATTGAAATTGTCTGTCAGTATTTTGTACCCTGGAAAATGCAAGTGGGTAATAGCAGAAACGTTAATTTTTATTTAAAAAATAAAACAGACATGGGAAGGACAGCTAGGGAAACTACTTTGGACCTTCTTGGGTTCCACTGTCATTGAAATTCTTTCCTGTTTTTAGGAACTGACATTGCTGCTGGAGAGGAGGTTGCCATCAAACTGGAATGTGTAAAAACCAAACATCCTCAGCTCCACATAGAGAGTAAAATCTACAAGATGATGCAGGGAGGAGGTAAGCACTTTCGTCTAATAAGGGAGTATTTTGTGGCTTTAATTATGGGTACAAGAAGTACTAATGTTCAAGTTTCCTTTTAGAGAAAGGGGACCAGTGCTTCAGATTTTTCTTTGGGATAGAGGATTTGCACCCTTCTGATATCACTGGGTAAACCAGACAGCACCATGTTCAGAAAAATATGTAAAATAGAACAATATATTTCTCTTTCTATCTTGTATTAGAGTTTAAAGCAGGTGGTTGTTGGATTTCAGTGTTTCATGCTGTTTGTGAAGTGTTCTGAATACTTATAAAGCTAGGATTTTTCAAGTTAAAAGGCAGCTTCCAGACAGTACAGAACATGTATGCAAATAGAAAAAAATCTATGAGGATATCATCTGCTGGGATTTGGAAATCAGATATTTAAAACTGAATTTGGAAAATTCCCTTACTGTAATAAATAACGCTGATATTGAAGGGCATTGGTAGCAGAGTAGCACGAGTCAGTCAACTTACTAGCTGCTGCCTCATCTCCTATAAATGGTAAAAATATGCCCTTTTTTTGTGTCTTGTGGCACTCTGTTTATGTACCAGCAAGTCTCAATACTGGTATTGGACATAAATTTACAGTTAATTTAGCTTTGTTAGCTTAATTGTCCCTAGAATTGCTTCCAAGGAAGGTAATGCTTTGCATATGACTACTGTTTATATAACCTATATGTTTATGTGAGAAGCAGCATGTGATCATGTAACTAAAAATCATGTGGTAATGCAGTCTTAGAAATAAGTAGTTTATTCATTCATCCTTAATTTTTGCCTTTCCTTACTTAAGTGCTTATCTTTAAACAATGTTGATTATCTTAATATACTTGTAATGGAATAAAATGCTTGCCTCAGTGCTGCCACTGGCTTTGATCACTTCTTTTTATAAAATGCTGTTTTAAGGTCTTCTGGAAGGGAATATATAAGGACAGAATACTGAAGGTAAAGTAACCTCCCAAATAAGGACTTGTTTTCACAAGGAAGCTCAGGAAAAGTAATCTAAATTAACCTAAGGTGTTAACCCAAAGCAAGCAATTTAAGCTCCATTGCTTGCAAAGTGAATGAAGCTAAATCAGAATCAAGTCACTAAAAATCTAAGTGAGTTTTCTCAAAAGTGTTTGATACAATTTCCATAATCTGCTTTAATGTGGATTTATTTCCTTAAGTGTCTCCTTGTGGATAAGCCCAGATTTAAATTTTCAGGATCAATGGACAGCATAATGTCTTTCAAAAGAGACTTCAGAAAGTGAAAAAAGATTGCAGAGTGGCAAGGAATATATTGGAGTGGGAGCAGGAAGGAATACATGAAAGGAGGGCAAGAAATGCATTTGAAATACCCAGCCAGAGGGAAGCATTTTTACAGTTGTATGATCATGGATGTGGAAACTGTGGGGAGGGGGGGAGAGTTTAGTAAGTTAGAAGTCCTGCAGTAGAACTTTTTAGCAGTCCTTCTGCACAATCTCAGTTTTATGTTCTTAAGCAGCTTGTATATGATGTAAAAAGATACAACTTGCTAGAAGTGAGAATTGGTTTCAGTGTAAAAGTTTCCAATTTTCAAGACGATTTATTTCCTACATCTGTTTTAAATCTGGAAGGTCCGCATACACAATCTATAAAATATTTTTCTTTCTTCCAGTTGGTATTCCAACAATTAAATGGTGTGGAGCTGAAGGAGATTATAATGTGATGGTAATGGAGTTGTTAGGACCAAGTCTTGAAGATCTCTTCAATTTTTGTTCACGAAAATTCAGTCTCAAGACAGTCCTGTTACTTGCTGACCAAATGGTAAGAAACAGTTTTGAAACTTTGGATGGCATCTGTTTGGCATACAGAGGTGTTCAGTGAGAGAGTATGCTTACCTGTGTTATTTCCAGTAATTCAGTGGCGAATGGTATTTGCTGTCTCTTAGAGAGAAGACTCAAATTTAGGTTTTATGATTTCTTTTTAAATATGATACCTAAAATCAAGTAATTTGTCTGTGTGTGCATTTTCACTGTGGGATGTCTTATTCCTTGGGCCTTCCATCAAGTACTTTTTGCCTTTGCTGTACTTGTAACGCACACTCTGGCTCTAGTTTCCCACAAACCCCGTGGTGTGGGGATAAAGGACAGATACTCTGTTCCCCTCAACTACTTGTCTGAGATGGGGTTTGTTTGCAAATCAAAGTCGCTTAAGGCCTAAGAATTCCCAGCAATTACCAAAACAATTTCTCCACTTGTGCTATAGCTTTCTTCTCCTTACTATCCAGCTTTGCCACTGCATCAAGGTGAAAAAACACCTAGACTTCTTTGAGTCTCCAGAGTAATAGCTGTGACTTGATACCTTTCTCTCCCTCTGTTTATAACAGTGCCACAAGGTGCCACTGTTTTGGGTTTGTTCCATTTTCAGTCATTACCTGACTCTTGTTCTGTGAAGTCAGAGTTCATGCAATGAAGGTGTCAAGACTCTTGCTAGTATATCTTTTTTGAGGTTCCTGATGTTCTCTGGCTTTAAACATATCTTTCCTGTTTAACCATATCCCAGCTTACAGCATCATTCTTGTCTGGGAAGGGCCAGCATCCTGAACTCATGTTCAGCATGTCAGTCGTTCATACATGGTTTCATCTCTCAGTATCTGCTCATCTGAAGACTCCTGGAGGGATGCCTTAAATTTGACCACAAACCCAAGGTCAAGATCCCCTGAACAGTGTCATATGCCTGGTGCCAGTCCTCATGCTGATTTGTGTCAGCTTTAATGTTGGCTTCAGATTCTGCTTGCATTCCAGAGATAGGTTGCCAGCTGAGAGCAAGTTGTCTATCTCTTTGTCCGTAGCCCACCAACATAAGGCCAGTTTCCCTTGTCCCAGTGACTCCATGGGCACACCTTGCAACCTGTGAGGGTGACCTGAGGCCATCAAAAGTTACAGCACTAGGGGTTTATTAGAGAACCTCTGAGGGACTGAAGGTAGTGTTACAGCTTACCTTTAAACCATCACAGGCACTTGCAGTGGGAGCATACATGTTAAAGAGTGTCATAAGTACCCTATAAACATTGTGCAGGATGGTGCGTGGCAGCACTCTGTCCCCGTCCGCCCGCACTTACCCCATAGGGCCTTCTTGAGTACCCCCGGGGGTATGCGTACCCCCAGTTGACAACCCCTGTGTGAAGTTATACCACTTCAGGTTAGGGTTATCTTTGATCTGTTTTACCTAGGTCATTCCAGGGTATTGTTAGTTTGCTCTGGGGAAATAAAACACTTTTTCTGTTCCTCCAGCATCCCAGGATGCACCATTCCCCAGCCCTTACTGCTCTTTCTCCATGGGCCAACTTTCAGTCCTCCTAAACCCTACTGCCCAGGGGTGTGGTGCTGGCCCCAAGCCAACATCCCCTCCCACCTCCAGGGAATGAAGCTGCAGCACACCCTGACCACTCTGAGCACCTAGGTGCAGGTCACCAGTTTGCTGCTTGCTCATCTGGGCACTCAGCTGGCTGGCTGTTGGTACAAGGTGAACAGTTAAAGCCAATTAGCCACTAATGAGTATGGGCAATTGGCAGGTAGTGTTGGGCAGCCATCTACCTCTCCACTGCTGCCAGCCACTGCACCATAGCTCAGATTCCTCACTGCCATGGCATTCACTTAAACAGAACCCTTATTCCAGGGGTTTTCAACCTCTTTTGGTTGGTGTACCCCTGGCAGTTGGTCGAGAAGCAGGGAGTCCCCTGGCCGGTGGACAAGCAGGGTGGTGGGAGGGGATCCCCTGGAGTCCAGAAGACAGGCTGGAGGGGAGGGGTCCCTGTGTGCAGCGGTGAAACTGGAAGTGCTTCTGCTGTTCCCCACCTCTGCCGCATACCCCCTGGGGCCTTCTCAAGTACCCCCAGGGGTACATAGACCCCTGGTTGATGACCACTGTCCTATTCATTTGAATGTGCTCTGTCAGCACCCCCTTTACCCAACCCATTCAGCAAGCTCACTGGGTCTCAGCTCTGCCCTAATGTAGTATGCATGCAGTGAGCCTGCTGGGTCTTAACTCTGCCCTGCTGTAAGTGCTCACCCAACTGCCCATGCCTCCACCCAATGCCAATTCAGGGAAATATGTGCAATATTTTGCTTGCTTGTTTGTTTGTTTCACTCCTTTCTCTCTTCCTCATTTCAAACATATCCACTCCCCACCCCCAACTTTTCCCCTCCCACCCAGGACTCCTGGTGGGTGCTATGAGGGAAGCCACATGATTTCTCCCCCTCCAAGCTACATGCCACCCTTCTCCCTCCTCTCCCACTCCAGAGAAGAGAGAGTCCTGGCTCCTGTCCACACCCCTGCTCACCGGGCCCTCTGGCAGCAAGTCATGGTTGTGCAGGTCTGAGATAACATTAAGCCAGGGTAGGAAACGTTTTTTGGCCGGAGTGCCACAGAACACCATGATGCCTACCTCAGAAGGTGCCGGAGTGCCGGCATGGCAGAAAAACAAAACGAGGGCAAGGGGTACATGGCAGAATGCCCTGCTTGTGCCCCTGCCCCCCAGCCCTGCCGCCCCATGCCCCCCAGCCCTAGTACCCTACTGCCCATTGCCCCCCACCCAAAGCCCGGCATCAGCTCCATGCTGGCGGCCTCTGCGTGTGCACTTTGGGGCAGACAGTGGGGCAGTGCAGCCCGCCCCAAGGTGTACATGCAGTCGCTGCCAGCACGGAGCTGATGTCAGAGCAGTGCAGCCGAGTGCAGCTGTTTGCAGCCTGCCTGCTGCTTGCTGCAGCTGCCTAGAGCCCGGGCTGGCTCCAAACAGCTGCTCTGGGCTCATCACCTCCGTGCGGGGAGCAGGGGAGAGACCAGGGCTGTGCTGCCTCAGGCCCCTCCCCCACCGCCCACTCCAAGGTGCACCTGCACAGGCTGATGCCAGAGCCCGGCACAGCTGTTTGGAGACTCCTGGCTCTGGGGATATGTTGCCAGCTGGGGTCCCGGGCTGCTCCCATCAGGCAGCTGGGACGCTGCAAGCCCTGCTGGGAGCAGCCCGGGCTCTGTCGCTGGCAGCAGCTACCTCGAGCCGGGGCTGGCCGTAGCGTGCCAGGGGTTGCCGACCCATGCATTAAGCCGCCTGGAACTGTAGTTGCTCTGAAACTGTTCTACGTCTTTGACAGCATACCACACTATAGATTTGAAATGCTTTAAAGGTAACCTCTAACAGCACCCTCAGAATTGAACGTTCTGGCATTGCATGCTAACTGCAGAAGGAATGCTGAGATGGGAAGTCCTGCTCTTCTGTGAATAAGAAAAGGATTTTATCCCCCTTTCCTCTTGTAGAACTAGCTTTCACACTTTCTCCAAAGCTGGCAGCCTTTGAGAGAAGCTTATTAAGCAGCCTTGTGCTCAGTGAAAATGTTCCCTTCTCCGTCTTGGCTCTCATGCTCCTTAACATAAGAAGTGCATATGAGGTCAACACCAGTGGCCCATCTAGCCCGATATCCCATCTCCAACAGTGGCAAGGGTGGATGCTTTAGAGGGAAAGCATTGAAGCGGACACAGGAGTGATCTGTCCACTATTCATTACCTTCCTTAGGATCTCCCATTGTTGGTTTAGAGATGCCAGGGGAAACCACTCCAGCTAATCTGTTCAACAGCTATTAATAGATGCATCATCCGTGTGCCAGCAGATTGCAGAATTGCCATGGGACTGGGCCCAGCAGTGTCTTCTGGTTCCCTGGAGGAGATTGAGTTTTCAGCAGTATCATGCTCAGCGCCCTCCTAGAATGCTTTCACCTCTTTGTCACAACCACCTGTTACATTTTCTTTCCTCAGAGAGATGGGAGCACTCTGTTTCCCCTTCCCTGACTAAAGCAAAACTGGCCTCTTCCTGAAGCACTGTCTCAGTGCCTTCCCTTGCATAACCATCTTAGAACTGAGAATTCTCAGAATTTGTTAAGTCAGAGACCAAAGCCTCTAGGGCAGATACCACACTTAGTAGTTCGCTTCTGCGGCTGCAGTTTGCTTATAGGGCTCCTGAATCCCATCTCTTGTTGTCTGGCCACTGCTTTAATATTGCCGAACTTGAGAACATGTAATGATTTGGACAATCAGTTGAAAGGGATAACAAAGCTACTTACAGAAACTTGGGTTCTTTGAGATGTCTGGACATGTATGTGTACAATACACCTCCTTCCTTTCCCCCTTCCTCTGAATCAATGCAGTTTGGGACGCTGTGGTTCAGAGGAAACTGAAGAGCAGAAAGTGTGTGCTGCTTTTCATGCCCTGGTGCTAGGCAGGAGGGGAGACAGAGCTAGAGTGTGCCTATGAGTACCACTACAGTTGAAGTCTCTGATTAAAAAATAATTATGATAATTCAGGGCTTGATATACCCCACCGTGAGAATGTGAATACAAATGCATCTCAAAGAACTCTAGTTAATGATACACAAAGCCTTTTTTCTGCAATGCAGCTTTTATACTTATAGGGTGTTGTTTTTTTTAAAGTACAGGCCTTTAAAACTACTGATAAAACAGGTAAGGACATCTTCGTTTATGACAGTGTTTCCAGTAAGAAAAGTGCATGTTCAGCGCCTCTTGAATGATTTTTTTTTTTCTCTGAATCTAGATAAGTCGTATTGAATACATTCACTCTAAGAACTTCATCCACCGAGATGTGAAACCTGATAATTTCCTGATGGGGCTTGGAAAGAAGGGCAACCTTGTCTACATCATAGACTTTGGGTTAGCCAAGAAATATAGAGATGCTCGAACTCACCAGCACATCCCATATCGTGAAAACAAAAACTTAACAGGAACTGCCCGTTATGCATCCATCAATACTCATCTTGGAATTGGTGAGCTGGAAAAGATAGCCCTCTCTAGCAAAATGTATGTCATTTTGAAGGTGCAGCTAACAACATATACAATCTGGATAAATATGAAATCCTTTTAGCTAACAGATCTTCATTTGTAGAGATTTAGAAAGAAAATGCATGTTGTTGTTAATCTGGTGCTAGGTATGTGATTTATTTAAGATCATTTCTTGGTGGAGATGGGTACAGTGAACCAATAGTTCAAGTGGGAGTGCACCGATAAAGACTTTCTTGGCCGATACTGATAGCCGATTATTAACCAACTTTATTAGCTGATGCCAGTCCAATAACTGATATTTAGTAATAATGCAAGGCATTTTAAAGTACTGACGCAAACCTTTTTTTTCTTGTGCTTCAGCAGCCTCCTGTGTCAGGCGCTTAAAAATGGTGACTGGATCACTTGAACTAAAGCTCGTCAAATGAGCTTTAGTTCAAGCACTGCTGCCACCATGTTTAAGCATGGGGACATTTTTGAGCAGAGCTGAGCTGGACAAGGGTGGATGTAGGCTGCCTGCTGTGGGCTTGGGGATCCTCTGCCCTGCTGCCGTTGCCCTGAGAGTCCCACACCAGCCGTGTGTCCCATGCCGACCCAGCAGCAGGAGGCACAACTTGCAGTCCCTGCTGCTGCCAGACAAGCAGAGGGCCCATTGCCAGCACAGAGCTCCCAAGGGAAAGGCAGCAGAGTGGAGAGCCCTGAGCCATAGCCCGCATCCACCCCATGCACACATCTGGGGGGCGGGGCACATGCATCCACCAGGGGGTACGTCCAGTGGGAGGGAGATTCTGTCCTCCACTGCTGCCGCGCCCCGCCCCCCCGATTTGCTGCCAGTTGCTCCATCCCACTTCCTGCCCCAGGGACCCTGCCCTCTTCCCTTCCTCGCTGTGGGAGCCTCAATCTGCCCCCCCCCCCCCCCCTTCCCTTCCTGCAAGGAGCTACTCTCCACGCTGCCTGGCTGTATTCCTGGCTACACGCATGCATGCGGCTGCGCATGTGGACATGGACCTCCTGTGTCCCGCTACCCCCCAGTCCCTTGCATGCTAGAATGCTGCCCACCTCAAGGGGAAACAGGCCTTTTCCCAAGGGAACCCAGGCATCTGGGGGCCCCAGCCCCATGGGGGAGAGGGAATCCAGGTGTCCGGGACCTGGCCAGAAGGCATAATCATCAGTAAGCATTATCGGCCGCAACAGCCAAACAAAGCTGATAGCTGATGTCATTTTTAATGGTGCTGATCTGATAGGCTACCAATGTATCGGTACGTCTCTAGTTTCAAGGAATTGAGTGGTGAATAACTACAAGAGTTTATAAGGTTTTTTTCTAGTATCTGACTGAGAAATTTAACATGAATTTACTCGTCTTAAACTACAGAGAGTGTGTGAGAGAGTTTTCAGTGATGTTTGTTGCATAAGCATTTTTGACCTTTCATCAAAAAATAAGTCTAACAAGTCCATTCTCTTATACTGTTGCAGAGCAATCTCGCAGAGATGATTTGGAGTCTTTGGGCTACGTACTGATGTATTTTAACCTGGGCTCCCTTCCCTGGCAGGGGCTAAAGGCAGCAACAAAAAGACAGAAGTATGAACGTATCAGCGAAAAGAAAATGTCTACACCCATTGAGGTTTTATGTAAAGGATACCCGTGTAAGTTATTTTCTTAGAATCATTATAAACTTTAAACTTTTTACACTTTCTCGGCCTTGAATTGGTAGTGTCTATTGCTTCACGCTGCATGTTTAAACTAGATTAACTCAGCTGTTATTTTGTCATTTTTTGGGTGAAAAGACATGTCAGACTTTATGATGTGTTCAATATTCATGCTCACGGACATTGCACTTGCTTTGTGCGAGCTGTCTGTGTCCCTGGTTCATTGCTCCTTCATCTGACCACAAGATGAACGTGAGCCACTAATGTGATGCCACAACTGGCAAAGCAGGTAAAACTCTGGCTTGCATCCACTGTCGCATCTCAAGCAAGACCCAAGAAATCATCCTCCTGCTTTACTCGGCCTTGGTGAGGCTGCTGCTGGAGCACTGCATCCAATTCTGAGCTCCACACTTTAGAATATTTATGGAGAAGCTTGAGAGAGTCCAGAGAAGAGCCACGTGCATAATTAGGGGTCAGGGGAACAGGTCTTACGAGGAGAGAAGCAAAGGCTCAGGGGTGACTTGGTGGCAGCCTATAAGTATATAAGGGATGTGCATCAGGAACTGGGAGAATGTCTGTTCAGTAGGGGAAGACGAGGTCTAACGGTCACAAACTGCTGGAAGACTGTTTTAGACTGGACATAAGGAAAAACATCTTTACTGTCCAAGTCTCTAGAGTCTGGAATAGACTCCCCCAAGAAGTGGTGCAAGCACCTACTCTGGATACCTTTAAGAAATGCTTAGATGCTTGGTGATCAGACCCCAGCTGACTTCCTGCCCTTTGGGCAGGGGGCTGGACCCAGTGATCCCACGAGGTCCCTTCCAGCCCTAATGTCTATGAAATCTATAATATAAAACTTCTTGATTTTTTGCAATTACTGAGATTTTCTGGTGATCAGTATTTGATAACTAGCTTAGTAAGGTCCCTGGGTGCATACTGTACATCATACTTATAAACAGAAACAAGGAACTGTGCATTTTCTCCAGGCACTGTTATAATTTTTGAATGGTCAGGATTGCATAGGTGAATACATGAGGGTGGTTCAGAAACTAACAGCAAAATGGCTGTCTGCACTGTATGTCTGAGAAAAAGTGGGAAAATCCAGTAAATGATAAATTTACACAAAATGTTTTTATTTCAAAATTGCTATTACTTTCTGAAACACACTTGTACTACTAGTAACTCTTTTATTTGTGAATGTAGAAAGTGGTATAGTGGACCAGAGTTGTGTGCCATCTGGTATTGTATCCTGTGCCTGACAATAGCAAGTGCCAGAAGAAAGCGCCATAGCCTTGCATGAAATTAATGTGGTCCCCCATATCTAGTCTGCCCCCCATTTTAGGTACCCTCTTAATTCTTAGAAATTGGAAATAAATTTAAGCCCTGAAAAATGAGAATAATCTCTTTCAAAGATTGTTTGCAATTTTGTTGACAATGGGTATCCTTGTTTTCCATAGCTAGCTTTTATAGTTCTTAATGGAACCAGTTTTGTCCTCTAGTGGCACTGCAGTGGAAATGTACAAGGCACATTTTAGGTGGGTGTATCCTTTATCAGACTGCTGGGGTTGGGATAGACTTTGAAAAGCTTTTGAATAAAATGCATTCTTCTTCAGGTCTTGTTGGTCAGGGCCCTGAAAAAGAATGCATTGCATTTGAAAGCTTGTCTATTTCCCAGACCATACAGTTGGTTCAATAAAAGATATTGCCCACAGAAATCCTGGCCTCCTGCATACCTTTGTTCTTGAATTTTGAGTTGTGTGAGAGAGTACTTTCTCCTGTCTAATTTGAATTTGCCACTTTTCAGTTTCACTGCCCATTTTCTTATTCTGTGTTCTGAAACAGACTAGAAGTTCCTGATCCACATCCTGTATACATTTCATTAAAATGTCCCTTACTTGGCTTTTAAAATGTCAAATGGTTAGTGCAGTATTGTGATTGCAAATATGCAGTGAAAAATTTGAAAACCAAATTTTCCACTACAACACTGGCTCTGATGCCTGCTGTATATGATGGTTGTTGTATAGATATTTGCATGTGCATGGCAATTGAGCATTTATTAGACATTCAAAGTACTGGACATCTATCAAAATGCTACATAATTGCAATGTGGTTTCTTCAGTAATTCAAATGCCCCCCAGTTCATTTTCAGGCACCTGCAGATTATACTTAGAGACCTACCAAAATTGCTATTTTGTAATTTTTGCGGAAAACTTTGATTTCAAGCAGGCTCTGTGAAAAAGGACAAAATCACTGAGCACAGTAAGAAATTTGGGAACCTCTGCTCTAAGACAACCAAATACGTTGCGGTGGTGGACAGTGCAAGACAGTATCCTGCAGGGACCTTGCGCACAGATGGTGGAAGACTTCTGTACCTCCTGCAGTGTAACTCTGGATGTGTCCTGGGAAACCAACATTGATCAGCACTTGGAGTCCAAGGCACACATGAAGAAGAAGGCTGCTGCAGAGGCTGAAGGTCAGAACCAGAGGCAAGCAACCATGCTTTCCCTATTTTAAAAGGACCATGGAAAGCAGTTTGTCAAGGCAAGGGGCAGTATTTTTCCCTTGTGAAGGCCTTTGCCGTGGCCAGCATCCTGCTGGAGAAACTTGATCACCCCTAGTTAAGGAACTACCTGAACCAAAAAGTGCCAAATGCTGGCAGTTTTCTGTGTGCAAACAAGCTTTGCCAAGATTCTGCAGCAGTTGCTTTTCATGTACGGTCTATGAATGCTGCCTTGGCAGAGTATCATTTCTTCCCCATTGTGGCTGATGAAGCCACCAACCCTCATCCTAACTATGTGCTGCACACTTTTATTTGTACTGGGGAGCTGGACTGACCAGGATCTACCTGTGTTTCAGACTCGGCCAGTCCATCTCACCTCTTGTCAATTTTTCCACCATATCCCGAGCCATCATAAAGGTAACTGTCAGCTATGGCATAGACTTTAACAAGATCACTGCATTTCTGTCTGACAAAATGGCATACTCCAAAGAATGCTGTTCAACACTGTTCATATCACCTGCAATGCACACATTCTGCCCCCAGTAGGTGACATCTGGCACATGCAGTTCCCTGAGAATGGGGAGCCTGGTGTTTTCTTTCAAGAAAACCAAGCACTGTCCAGGTTGTAAGGTTCGGTCCAGGGAGTCCATCTCCAGTTAAAGTGGGGACTCGCGTGCCATTGCCACTAGAGCCTGTGCTCACATGGTAGAATTCCTGGTTCAACACAGTCTGTTACCACACCAAGCACAAGCAGCACTACCAGCAGTTTGAGAATGAGGAGCTGGAAATTACACCCAACACACAGTGCATGCTCAAGCTTTGCAATCTCTTGGGGTGAGGCAACATTCAAGATCAAGCGATGCTTGTGGTGACAATTCCACCCGGTTCATGGAGCTCCTGACGTGGTTTGAAGGCTGGCCGGCTGGGATCCACCATGGACACAACAAGCTGATGGACTTGATAATTTGGGTTCAAGACAAGGCATTGCAGGAACCGTCAAGCTGACGTGGTGGAGACAAGTGCAGAAGGTAGCTGTTCCAGGCAATAGTTTTGAAGCTGACCTAGTACTGTATGTACAATCCGTCACTGCCACTGCAGTTCAGATAGCCAGCTGCTACCTTCCTTGGGGCTTTTTGCAATTTGGACCTCAACCAGGTGCCTTTGTTGAGTTTTGACCCTCAGCTACTGATAGCAGTCCTGGGATGGGGGAAAGAGCATGACCATGTCCATGAACGTGCTGCCTACATGAACTTAGTCAAAGAGTGCCAGATGCCTGTGTCCGTGCCTGTGTTCAGGACTCTGTCTGCAACCGGTTTCCACATCTTTATGCTCTGGCAAGACACTGCCTCACCATTCCAGTGAACTCAGTGGATGCTGAGCATGCCATCTCAGTGTATGGACAAGTGTTTGCTTCACAGAGAAGGTCTCCAGAGACTGTGGCTGGATGTAGCATGCTCACTTCTAATACATAGCATGAACTGCCTGTCTCAAGTTTTAGCAGTCAGTTTTAGTAAACTCCGTTTCATAATGTCCTTTAATAAATTATATATAGTTGGCATTAGTTATTAAAGTGTCTATTGTTGCATTACTTGCAATTCATGTTGTGCATTGCTTTACTTTAACAAGATATTTCATTTTAGACCTTAATTAAATGCTCAGATAGCTTAATGCGTCAATAAATGGTTTCTGCGGCCTTAATCAGGAGATTAACCCTGTGGAAGCCATTAATTGACACGTTATTAAGCAAGCGGCTGTCTGGGGCCATCTGGCAATCTGCGGGGAGGGGCAGGACTATAGGGGCCTCTTGGCCAATCAGGGGCTTTGGTGTGGAAGTAAATGGGAGGCACAAAAATGGCTGTCTATCCTGCAAAATCTGCTAGCAGCCTCCTCGAGTTTGGTAGACCCCTAGCTGTACTGTATTTTGTCATTAAACTGGCACATATATATGTCCAATACTAAAATGAATAATTACAGGAAAAGGACATTGCACCTTCTCTGAGAAAAGCTATTGAAATACATTCTGAAGCTATGAACGATAATATATATATTCCTTTTTCTTTTCTTCTTTCCTTACTGCTTACTATAGGGTTTTCCTCTCCAATCCCTAACTATTTCAGTAGAGATTCTAATATCAGGTCTTCTCTGCTACTCCCACGTCGGTTTTTTATCTATTTTGAGAGGGTAATGAGATACCAGGTCTCATAAAAGTCCTTTTTTGCCCATGTTTTGATAGGTGGGGCTTGTCTCCACTGAATACCCATGTTTTGGCTTTGGCCATTGTTCCTTGCATGCAGAAGATTCTGAGATATTTATGATTCAGAACAAAAATATGTCTGCTTTTTAAGTGCCTCGATTTCTGTAGACATGACCATTTAAATATTGTAGTTGCCTCAAGGCAGAGAGGGTAAATGTTTGGTGTACTGAAATTGCACTGTTGCGTTTTGGTAGTTTGAGTCTGAAGGAATTGTTGGGGAAGATGCTGATTATATTTAAAACAAAATGCTGTAAGTATGGTAGAAAACAGCATGCTAATTTTGAAACAGCCCTTTATAATAGTACGTGTGACACTGGTAAGTGAGATTTCTCTTATTACAGCTGAGTTTGCTACATACCTGAATTTCTGCCGTTCTTTGCGTTTTGATGACAAGCCAGATTATTCCTATCTAAGACAATTATTCAGAAACCTGTTCCACCGGCAAGGCTTCTCCTATGACTATGTATTTGACTGGAATATGCTCAAATTTGTAAGTAGATCTCATTGCTCAATTAATCAAGAAAGTTGTTAGAAATGTTCAGCCATTCTATTTTTCAAACTTAGTTTGGGGTTTCTTTGTGTTGTTTATTTTAGACACAGTTCCTAGAAGTCCTAGCATGTGAAATTACATTTTTTTTAGTGTCCAGCCTTTGGTATCTGAGCACAGGCTGAAACTCTACAAAAGCAGATGTTATGTTGCCTCTTCTGTTTTGTAGTACAGCAGGGATGGCATTTGAAGAAAAGTGAAATGTCCAAATCCACCCGCACATATCATACAAGCCAAAATTCCCCATTTATGAATGCTTTTGTAAACATTTTTCAATTGATGAGTGAAATTTTTTTGAATAGAAAACCATTTTTGTCACTATTCCCTGAGATTACTGATTACTAGCAAACATTGTGCTAAAATAAAGTGAGATCTCATAATTGGACTAGGTGGCCCAGGAAAAGAAGACATTTCAAAATAGTAGTAATTTCTCAAAGCATGGAAACTACTTCTGACTGAAATTTTAAAATTTCTGACCTTGTTGCTGCCCATCCCAAGTTCTTTAATTTTAATGATATGAAGGATCTGAGATCAACAGTAGTTTATGGAAAAACTTGCTTCGCTTCAGAGAATGCAAACTAACTCAATTTATAGAACATTAACGAAAGCAATTAACTATTCATCTTCCTATTGCATTGGCCCCTGTCCTGGGTGCCTTCCCTTGTATAGAAAGCCACAGATCTTGTACTGAAAAAGCTGATAGTTTAAAAAAAAACAAGGAAGGGTAAAACACAAGTCAAGTGATCGAGGAGTTTAGGGGAGGGCAGTGATTGGCATTTGTCTTGTCATGCAATTATGCTTTAAGCATGATGCACTAAATAAATTATCCTTCACTATTCAACTGTCAGGGGTTTTGCTCAGAGTAATTCTTGTGGTTCCGAGTTCTGGATTCTTCTGTTCCTTCCTCTCATCCTTCAACACAAAAAGTGTTAATGTGCAAGTGTAGTAAATAAGCTGAAGATTTTTGGCCTGCTAGTTTATTTAGGTACCCTTTAACAAGCAGAACTTGTAGAAAGAATTTAACTGCAGAGAGAATAGTGGCCTTGTAGATCAGCTCAAAAATGAGATTGTACGCATAGGAGACGATGTTCAAAATAAAATGATTTATAAATACGCTCTTGAGCAAAGTAGAGAACCAGGGAATTGCCGCTAATATGTATCCAAAGCCTCACATGCCCTTGGTAGTAGCTACAAGAACAAAAGGTGTGGAATAAAGTTTTATACAAAGTAACAAAAGTTGATGCAGTGGAGAAGAAAGAATTGGTATAGGTTCAAGGGGATCCAAAGTTGTGACTAGCTCAGCTATCAGAGAGAATCTCAATTGCTCAGTCAGTGTGAACTCCTGGATATTTGTGCAGTTGGCAACAGTTTGAACTAACTGTTTGTCAGATACCACCCTACGTGTATTCTGTGCTTTTTGGTTCAAAACTAGATTATTGCAATGCTTTTTACTTTCCAGTTTTATACATAAGCATCCAGCAGATCCAGGGCATGCAGAACAAAGTACTTGAGCAGTTATTTGCTAAAAGCATATTACACCAGAGATCCACGGTATGGGATAGCTTTCCAGTGCAACTTCAGGTGCTGATTCCTATGAGCCTTGAATCACTAGGGAACTGGTGATCTAGAACTTGCTCTCCCACACTGTCCAGTCTGCAGTGGCTAAGGTCAGCTAGATTGTAATATTCTTGTAATATTCTTCAGAGGGAAGGAAATTCTTTAAAGTGCCTTCTCCTATGAAACTTCCACCTCTTGTGATCTGCTAGAGTGAATCCAAATATTGAACCCCCTACAAGGATGCGTGTTTGCAAACTATCTGGGACCTTACCTGGATACAGCAAACAGCTGTGTGGGACAACTGGTGAGCTCCAGCTGATCAGAGCAGTGCCCTTTGAAACAAAAGCTGTTGCACCAGCTAAGCAGCTCATCTTTAATTTGGCAATCGTCTGCAAACCAGGATGGTTGTGAACCACCCAGATATACACATCATTCAGAATCTGCTATACAAAAAACATCTAGCTTAATTATTTAGATGATCATTTTTATTCAAAGCCAGTCCCAAGGCTATGTAGTCAATGTATGAGTCTCTTGGAAGAGAGCGATAGTCATTTTTAAAATTGTGTTACCCATGTGCCATGATGATGGTAGATAACCGAGATTTGCATGTTATTAACATTTCCAAGTCTTTATTAACACAACATCAGATTCATTTTAAACACTTTTTTGTTTTAATGAAACTTTAGAAAACCTATAACAAAATAACTGATCTTATTTTACACTCAGAAGAGCTCTTAGGGCACTTTTACATGTGCTCTGAGGGGGGGGGGGGGGGCAGCGCTTTATTTACAGAGGCTCCAAGAGCCGCTCTATTAAAGTGCTGCTGCATCTCCTGTATCACTGTCCCTGTGTTTTCAAGTGCCTCTGCCGCCATTCTTACTAAAGCTCATTGAACAAGCTTTTGTTCAAGTGCCCCTCCTGCCATTTTTAAGCACAGGGAGGGACACTGATGCATGAGACTCAGGAGACTGCTGGAGCACAGCAATTGCCATGCTCTGACACACTAGAATTGTAGCACATCAGAGCAGCCTCCACACTCATTTATAGGCACTCTTAGGCTCTAGCACAGTGCTGCTTAACCTCATTCAATTTAACGCACCCCTCAGAAGATGCCAGCTCTTAGTTTTGCACTTTTTTTTTTTTTTACTATAGAAAAATTTAATATAACAATTCTTCTGTTGCAGATTGCTCAGATCACAGAAGGGCAGAGTGTTTTTAGAACTATGAATTTATATCTGAAGTCTCTGGGGGGGTTTATCTTGTGTATTGTATTTGCACATTTAAGTGTTAACATTAAGGGTACTCTGCATCACCCTTGAAAGGCTCCCAAGGTGTGCCTCAACACTATGGTTGAGAATTACTGCTCTTGCACTAGTATGTGAGACAGCAGTAATAAGCTTAGTAGTTTCTCTTGTGGCTTACTCGTCTCATGCCCTAGGGTGCAAGCAGAGCTGCTGAGGATGCTGAACGGGAGCGAAGGGAACGAGAGGAAAGAATGAGACATGCACGAAATCCAGCAGTTCGTGGCTTACCTTCCACAGCTTCTGGTAGGCTGAGAGGAACGCAAGATGTGGCTCCTCCCACTCCTCTTACTCCAACCTCACATACTGGTAAGTAATAAACTTCATGGCAAAAAAAGCAGGTTTGGGAGATTCCTCTGTTCTGTTGCTCCGCTGCTTCCTGGTTATTGGAAATTGAAATGTAGCACTTGGCCATTTTTTTTTAAATCAGCTTGAGTGAATAAACAGAACCAGAGAGATTTTACACATTTTTTGTAAATGCTTTTTTCTAAATAACCAAACCAGGTTTTTATTTTCTGCTGTGCACTGTGCTAGTCATGCTACAGGCCAATCTGATTTGATCTTGAGTCAGAATTTCTTACTGCGTTTAACTGCATATTTTTCAACATTTCTGCCTACCCCTCTCCCCCATCTTTTTTTTTCCCAGGGAAACTTACATATTCTTAGGGCATTGAAATCAGTTGTATAAGTGTTTTGTTGAGTCCCAATTTCAAACTTGTAAAAAAATAGAGCATTTCCCTAATAGTGGTTTTAGTGTAATTTTTGCCTTTTTAATAGAATGATTATTTTTTATTATTTTATGTGAGAGATAACATAAGGACTGATAGGACTGATCTGTTTTTAGCCCTGTTAAAGGCTTAAATGACTGTCTGGTTATTGATATTAGAGATTTTAATCTTTTATTGCACCTCACCATAGTCACAAGCAAATAAAATTGCAAAGCACTGTGTCATGCTGAAATAGCCACCAAAGACACGTGTGACCTTCTCATGTGTGACTAACTTAGTTTCATACCAGCTTTTGGTTATTCTGATCAGGAATCAGTTTCTTTTGTGGCATTAGCCCCATTGAGCCTTCTTTACCATCAGTTTGAGGCCAGTGCAGAACTTTCGGGTTCTAGGTGCTGCTAGAACCAGCTGCTTGTTTTCTGTGTGTCAGGCTTACAAGTGTAATTGTCAACTTTAAGCTGAAATATATCTATAAAAAATAAAAAGTGTGTGTGTCTATGTGTGTATAATAATGTTATTCGTTATATTTTGGAAGCTTCTAGGTCACATTGGGCCTTGCTTGGAATTAAGGATGTAGGAAGTGAAATACTGGACAAGAATTGTGGTCTGCCTGGTCCATTATCTTGTCCCAAACTATGATCCAGTACCAAATGCTTCATAGAAAGGATCAGGGGGATTCAGCGGATATGACAGATATGAGATAATTGCCCCATTTTCCCACCCCTAAAAAAAAAAAAAAGCAAAAAAAGGTCTCATTCAAATTCCTCATTCATTGGAACTTGGGTCAGACCCTGAAACGTGAATTATTTTTCTTTGCACCTATATCTCTTCCTAACTGTATTGCCCATGACTCTGGATATCATTCTTACCCCTATAAATGCTCAGTCCCTTCTTGAATAATGTGAAGTATTTGGCCCTATCAGCATCCTGTAGCAAGAAGCTCTACAAATGAATAATAGGTCACTAACATTCATAATTGTAAGTTACAGATGTAATCTGCTTCCTCTAGGTCAGCGTTTGTTTTGTGTACTATTATTGTATGGAATGTCTCTATTCCCATATTGGGATAAAGGGAACCTGCTCTGTTGGGTGGGGCCTTGGAATAAAGAGGGAGCACACCTGTCTTCTTTCGAGAGAATCTTTTTATGAAAAAGCTAAACATAACTTTACTAGCATCCAGATCAGGCAGTAGAAATAATAATAATTAAAAAAAAATACTTAAGCGTGGGAGGATAGATGTAGACCAGACCCAGTAACCCTGAGCTCTTGCTCAGGCTTTCCAACATCTTAGGCCCATTATTCCGCACTTCCTCCAGGTTTACAATCATAGATATACAATGATTAATGACACTTATCAATCCACAACCTGATGGGCTATATGTTAATGAAAGGGGTTGATTGTAAAGACCCTCTCCCCAGTTAAGTGAAGAATTTATGATAAATACTTACCAACGGTTTAACTAGGATGGCCTTAGAACAGGGGTGGGCAAAATGGCAGATCTGGCTGGTGGCACTGGATTTATCTGTGCCCTCTGAGAGCCTTAGAAATAGTATCTTCACACATTTGCTGGAGTCAAGGACCATTTGGTTGGCTGTGCCTCATAAATCTATCTTCCGTTGATCTGTGGTGTAATTATGCTACTTTGTGAAGTGGTGATCAGTCTGTGGGAATAGTCAATTCAAAACATATCTGATCTAATTGTGATAGATGCATTTAAAAAATGGACAACCTAAGTTGGTATCCTCAGCAGGCAGAGATCCATTGTGTGTATGCAGACATCTTTTTATTTAGACTGAAAGGAGATTGCTACTTCTACATCTCACTTCCCTTTCTACTCTTCCTTGGAGTATTGGAGGTTTGGCAGAAGAAACCCAGAATGATCTTAGTCATGTCAGCCTGAACATGGCACATCTGGTTAAATCCCAGTTTCTGGATCTCTTTAAAGATCATTTGTTTACTTCCTACCCCATTGTGAAAGACATGCTTGTTGCCTCAGGAAACCAGCATCTAGACCCCTAGTCTCTTTACTTGACAGGATAGCCAATGGATTTCCAGGCTGGACATGTTTATGTATCTGAAGGGATCAAGGAGATCCTGTTAGACTCATTTGCTAAATAGAATAAGTTTTAAAAGATTTACCTAAAGTAAAAGTTTTCAGTGTGTTTGTTTGTTTTTTTGTGTGTTCAACCTGTCTTAAACATTTTCCTTCTCCCTTCAGTGTGATCACTGAGTACACAGTTGAATTAGCTGCTGTTTCTATTTACTGTCTCTCTACAAAAGGGACCTACAAGTTTGCCTTTTCCCCATGACACCTTTTATTAAAACAAAGTCTTTACATAGCTGTGTTTTCCGGGCTGGAAACTTCCTGACCTTTTGCATTTGAGGGTCCAGATCCTCAACATGCTCAGCAGAGGTCTGGAAGAAATTCTAGTCCATTAATTGATAGTTACTATTTAAAAAGGTCCTGTGGCTGTCTTATTAGGCGCATGACCTCCACAGTCTGTTTTTCTAGAGGCAATATAATTCTTCTGTAGAAGAATCTGCATTATTTTGGGTAAGTGACCACTTTTTAATGCTGTCTATTTGTGCATTTCAAGAATTCTGACACTTTTTTTCACAGCTAACACCTCTCCTCGTCCAGTGTCTGGAATGGAGCGAGAAAGGAAAGTGAGTATGAGATTGCATCGTGGTGCCCCTGTCAATATCTCTTCATCCGACTTAACAGGCCGACAAGATACCTCTCGCATGTCGACTTCACAGGTATAGAACAGATGCTTTTTTTTGGAAAAGGGTGGGCGATTTGATCAGACTGTGAAGCTGCATTGGCTTACTAACTAATTAATGGGCTTTCATGTTGAAGAGTGTTCTCTTCCTTTTAGAAACATTTCTAGATACATAATTCCTGTCTCTTTCAGCTTTTTGGAAGCATCTTAGGAAACATTAACACTGGCCTCAGTGAAGGCTCCAGTTAGGTGGCCTGCGTAACATAGTTTCACTTGAACAGGTAACAAGGCGTCATACAGATCCCCAGAAAACCAAGCAAGGGCCAGCTTTTTTTTTTTTCTTTCTTTCACTCCTTTCTGTTCCTTTCTGTTCCTCCAGGTTGAGGATTTTTGGTTCCAGGGCAGTTTGTACTATACGCATCTTACCACATATTTCAGTGAATCTAAGCAGTTATGCATGCTAATTGCAGGATCATAAGCTAAATATTTTGCCTCCCTAAAGCATTCAGAAAAGAATGTACTGGACTTGTATTGTATAGCAGATGTTACAGGGCACTGTTGTATTCAAAATCTTAAAGATCCCTGTCTTGATCATTTTAACTGCAGATTTCAGAAGTCTTGTATAAATTAAGTTTTTGGCAATTCTTGCTAGTTTTTTTTTTAACTTTTGAGAGGGTGTAATATTGAAGAAATTGCAATTTCTGCAACTGAGGTGAAAATATAGTGACAAAATACAGTTAGTAAAGCTACCCTTAGACTATGTTACACTCTTCCTTTTATGTGCTCCTAATTTTCTATTCCACATCTGTTTTTTCTTTGTTCTTTCATTACTTTCTTCCTGCTTTGAACTGTGAGTAGGTAGAAGCTTTTTAATATGTTATCAAATACTTATCAGCTTGTGATTTTTTTTTTTCCCTTTTACCCTCTGGTTCTTGTAGATCCTTTTTTATAAGTGTAAAAAACTAAATGTTCTTCGCCATGAGCTTTAAACATTTGGTATAAATTCTTGCTTCTTTCTATGCATGTATTTCTCGGAAGCAAACTGATATTTTTTTTAATCCTTTTTTGACAAGAGAAGCTACACTGGTATTAATGATGTACGACATACTGACAGGATTGTTTCTCATTTTGTAAAATTAATTTTGCAGTAGCCTTTTTTTGCCAGAGTGTACAGCTTGTTATTTAGTGACAATATTTGCTTTTGTAAAGCAGTTATTGCTGTTTTTTTCCTGTGCGGTAAGTTGTTTTTAAACATAGTTGAAATTTGTCTAACCTAGCTTGAGCAACTAAATTGAAACATGTGACATGGCAGTGGGTTGTACTATAAATACTCATACTGTAGTAGTGATTGCTAGTGAAAAGCTTATAAATTAATAGAGCATTCTCTATTTGTAGAAAAAAATAGAAAATTTCAGAGCTAACAGAATCCAAACCATTTTAGCTTATTTGGTCTTTCAGTTTCTTACATAACTTTCCACTCACTTGTTTTCCTCTTCTGCATTAGGTCTAGGCCATGTTTTCAGATCAAAATGATGCTGGTGCAGTGGGGAAGTTTTCCAAAGAAGCTGAGGGAGGGTGTGTAGAATTAAGGGAATCATTTAGTCAGTGCAGGGCATGGTGACTCATTACAGACAGGAAATCAAGGCTGCTGATGCATTAGAGATCTCGGAAGGCACAGTTGAGGACTGAAGAAGAATAAGTGATACGGTGAATCCAAGGTATCCGGTTCACTGAAAACATCTTTCCAGATATTGTGGAATGGATGCAAGAAGGCTGATAGTGTTGGTGACAGAAATCTCTTCTAAAGCAACAGTTTATCTTCAGATTTTTTTTGACATCTTACAGAATAGTTGTGCGGGAGACTAGGAAGTTTCTTTGCCTTTATTATAGTGTTTCCAAAATCTTCAGCGAGCTTGTCCTGGATGATCGCAAAGCTTAGCTGATGCAAAGCTTTCCTCAGTCTTTAGTGATGCAGGCTTCCCATTGTGAGGAAACATTGTATTCAGTAAGTAGATAGACTTGTAGTAGTGGCAAGAGACCAGTACCTTAAGCAAACAAATAGTATTTTCTTTGCAAATACCGAGTTTGGGTAAAACTTAAATGTCTCCCAGGTTGTAGACCCTTACACTTCTTAGCTGACAGAGTATGTTATCACAATTAGGTGATAGAAGTTAAGGGTGTCGATTTACCTTCTTGTTACTATGACAGCATTTAAATTATGCTTGGATGTGTTGTTGTTGTAAAGGTGTTTCTCCGAGTAGAATAGTAGTTCTGAGAAGGGAGTCTGTTAGTGAGAGATCAAAAAATAAGTGTTGTTGAAGGAAAGCCCAAAGAAACCACTGTTTTGGTTATGGTCAGGTGATCCAGGTTTGTGTGCAGGCCGGGAGCGACCCGAGCCCTTTTCCGTGCTGCACGCGGGCTGTGGCCAGCAGCCCAGGCACGCCGGGGCGGAGAGGGAAGGCCGTCGAGCTGGAATTAGGCACGAATGTGTAGCGGTAGTTTTAAAGATTGTTTACTTACACCGAGATGGCAGTGGTGCAGGCTGGAAAACTTGCTTGAGTTGCAGTTACAGACAGAAAAGAAAACAAAACTCGAACCTGCAGGGCACGAGGGTACGTCGCAAAGGGTTCCGGCGACGGGAAGATGAAAAATACGAGGGTACGTTGCAATGGGTTTCGGCGACGGGAAAATAAACCTGCAGGACTCGAACCCGGGTAGAAGAGCTCTGAGATCGGTCAAGGATTCACACAAAGTTTGCTAGGCTCCGTGGGTCCTTCTGCTCCACACGAAGTTTGCTAGGCTCCGTGGTCCGGTTCTTTTGCACGCGGAAAGGGATACGTCTGGACTGCGCTCGGCGACGGGGAGAGGCTAGAGGTTGATCAGACCTCCGTTGCCTGCTTGAAATGCACTGGGTCCGTAAGGATCCACAGCGCTTAGAGATCTTCACACAGCATGAAGTCTCCTCCTCCCTTGTTCGTGGAGTCCTCCAACTTGGGCGGAAACCACTCAAGCCTTTTCTACGGCTAGCAAGCCAATCACTAGCCGCTACGTGTGAATAATTTAGAACTGGCCAATAATGGGACTCGAATTAGCATACAAATGGCGGGAACTCTTTGCAACGAGCATTTCTGTGCTGCAACAAAGAAATGCACCCTGCAAAGAAAGCTTCAAATTGGCGGGAAATTCTCCCTTGCACCAGGGGTCTCTTTTGCAGCAGAAAACTCCACCGTGCAAGGAAGCGATAATTTAGCGGGAACAATTTAGCAGTGCCGAAGCGCACAAAAACAAAAATCACACCCTTTGGGTTGTGACAGTTTGAAGCTTGAAAGCAGACATGGAAGTCTGTAGGGTGAGACTATAACACTGCCAAGGATGATAGTGTTAGCCCATGAGGTGAGTCATGTGTCCAGTCAAGTAGGAGAGAGATTCCTAAATGTTATAAAGCTTTTAATTAGATCTCAAAATGCTTTAAAGTGAGAGAAATATATTTATTCCTATTTCATGGGCAAGGGAACACAGCCTAACAAAGTCATTTTGACAAGTGAGGGATTAGAAATAGTAGGGTCAAGAAAGTGTGGACAAATTCTTCTTAACTCACAAGCACTGGTTCAGTTAGCATGCAGATTACATTGTGCGTTGTGAAACGGCTTTTCAGTATTTTCCCGGGGGGGGTCACCAAGTGGTTCCATACTACTGCTGCTGAATGAGGCAAGATGCTGTGCATCCAGCTTCATTCAATCCACACTGTCCATTTTCTGTACTGAGTGAGAGGGCATTCCTCTTGGCTATCTACAGAACCCAGCCTTCTTCATCCATCTCCCTGAAGTCCTTTGGTGCCATCACTCCCACAGCTTGATGTGGGACAGATTTTTTTAAACCTTTCAAATGACAAAAAAAACTTCAGACACACACATTATAACTTAATTCCTACCTCAAAACTGTCCATCTCTAGAAGCATGTGCTGTGGAGATCTCCGAATGCTCCCCTTGCTCAGCTTTAAGGTGCAAAATACAGGTAGAATCGCAGACAAGGAGGGCTGGAAGGGACCTCAGAAAGTCGCATCTAGTCCAACCCCCTGCTCAAAGCAGCACCAGCCTCAACTACATCATCCCAGCCAAGGCTTTGTCAAGCCAGGCCTTAAAAACCTCCAAGGATGGAGATTCTCTAGGTAACTTGTTCCAGTGCTTCACCACCCTCCTAGTGAGCAAGCTTTTCCTAATATCCAACATAAATCTCCCTTACTGCAACTTGAGCCCATTGCTCTTGTGAGGACTTGTTCTGTCATCTCTCACCACTGAGAACAGCCCAGCTCCATTCTCTCTGGATCCACACTTCAGGTAGTTGAAGGCTGCTATCAAATCCCCTCTCATTCTTCTCTTCTCCAAACTAAATAAGCCCAGTTCCCTCAGCCTCTCCTCACAAGTTCTGTCCTCCAGCCCCCGAACCATTTTTGTTGCCCTCTGCTGGACTCTCCAACTTGTCCACATGCTTTCTGTAGTGGGGGGCCCACAACTGGACACAGGACTCCGGATGTGGCCTCCTTAGTGCCGAATAGAGCGGAATAATTACTTCCCTCGATCCGTTGGCAGGTGTCCTACTAATGTAGCCCAGGGTGCCATTAGCCTTCCTGGCAACAAGGGCATGCGGCTGACTCATATCTGGCTTATTGTCCACTGTAAACCCCAGATCCCTTTTCTGCAGAGCTGCTGCTTAACCAAGTCAGTCCCCAGCCTGTAGGTATTCTTCTGTCCCAAGTGCAGAACTTTGCACTTGTCCTTGGTGAACCTCATGAGATTTCTTTTGGCCCAGTCCTCCAATTTGTCTAGGTCTCTCTGAATCTTAGCCATACCTTCCAGTGTATCTGCTACACCCTCCAGCTTGGTGTCACCTGCAAGTTTGCTGAGGGTGCAATCCATCCCATCTTCCAAATCATTTATGAAGATTTTGAACAAAAACAGCCCTAGGACCAACCCTTGGGGCACTCCACTTGATGTTTAAACCTATCAGTAATTTGGGATTATTTTATGGATGTCATAG